TGCCTGTGTGTGTGGTGTACGAGCTGGTCTGCGAAACGCGTGTGAGACGCGTGCGCAAATTGAATATCATTCTTAGCTGCGAATAATCTACCCCTAATGCTCGCTAACGAGCACGTTCGTGCGGCATAACCCCCCGTTTCGCGGCAGCGATGCGCTTAACAATTTTCGGCGCAGGCATGGTGGGAAGCTAAAGCGCAGCTGGTAGGCCGACAAAGTTCTTTCAGCTCGTCGCAGCTTGTATGGCGACAATTCTTATCAATCTCTGCATTGCCTAATGGCGATACGGCGGCTCAATCAAAACTCAACGGACTGAAACAACAGAGCCAGCCTAGCCGACATTTTGAAGACAGAGACACGCACGAGCAGACTATTGGGCTTCATCGTTCATGCAGATGAATGCAGTCATCTGTGTTAATGCGACTGGACAGATTAGCGGCCATTACGGCCATGCCATTACGGCCTTACGGCCATCGCGGCGAGGCGGTCATTACAACGCTTAAGCAAGCAGCGGTGCTTTCTGGGTTGTTTTTCTGAGCGCGCAACGCGCCGATGTCACTTCATACCTGCATGCAATCAGTACCACCACCTGCGATCACCGCTTGGCGAGTATGCCTCACACCATAGCACGGCAAAGGGTACTGGCTTCACCCGTAGCTGGGGCCTCCCAACCCTCAACGGCCGAGTGGCGCTGCACGTTTCATTAGCGCTTGTATCACGAACCGGACCTGCACACTGATGGCTCGAAGCACACCAACAACGACGATACGCGCTTTGTGGTGGTCAGAGCGAGAGCACAGACTAGCTACGGCCTGGCGACGCTTCCGGCTATGCCGTGCGGTAGCAATTTAGCAATGCAGGGATGGTATGACGATTTCATAGCGCTCAAAGCACCAGTACTCACGGCCTACTGTACGCTTGCACGCTCAGCTTCGCTGCGATCAGCAGGACACTACAGTGGCAATCACAGTGCGTAAGTAAGCGCGCCTTAAGGTAGGCGCTGCAAGGGTTCAGTCCTTTGAAATAGGAGACCCGCCGTTTATTTTTTTAACTGAGCCCCCGTTTGGCAGGGCCCGGTAGCTATAGCACGTGGTGCCGAGAGACATCTTGCTCCACCAGCCAGCTTTGGTAGTAAGGCGCAAGGCCAAACACGTAAGCTTCCGATGTACATGTGTGGAATCTCTAATCTCGCAATATCGCGATTCTTTATATGGGATGCGATGAGAACCGTGCTATGGTCGAAACGCCACGTGGTCACGCCCCAAATGGTCAGGGACGCCTGGTTAACACAGAGCGCTCTTATCGTTCGCCGCATGACAGCGACAGCCCGTCGACCAACGCGTCAGGGACGGCTGGTCGCGCACAGGCTCTTTCGTCGAACCCTCAACGACGAAACTACGCATTACAGGCGCGAATAGCTGTGGATGGCAGACGGGTTTGCTTGCCACCTCCAAAGGTGTAAGCGAAACGCATGGCAGGCCAGTGTGGCTAGATGGGCCAATCACTGATACGCTGTGATGGCAGACGGGTTTGTTGCCACCCGAAGGTTGTAACGAAACGCATGCAGCCCAGTTGTGTGGCTAGAATGGCCAATCACTTGATAGCTGTGATGGGCAGAGCGAAGTTGTTGCGCACTCGCGCAATATAGGGCTGACTGCGCTAAAGGGCAGAGTTTACAGGAAAACGTCATGTAAGATGGGGCGCGGCACCCTATCGGTCATGTTGATTAGCGGTAAGGCATCCGCAAATTTCAATGATGCAGCACTCCGTAACTTATCACTGGCCAATTAGTTAATCCATACCGGCCTGCTAAGATAGGCTTTTACGGCTCAGAGCAGATGTGCAGTGTATGCCGCTAGCAGTCTTAGTCTTGCTATTGTAGTTGAGAAATTCAGTGCCGTATTACTTTGTTCGTACAGCGCACTATTAAGTAGAAGCGGCTCTCATACTAAACGCGTGTACTTTGATCAGACGACGCCGTTGAATGAGCGGCCTGGTTCGTAACTGATTTTATGTCGCGGCTTGTACGCGAGCCGGCGACGTCTACAATTTGTTTCGCGCCCTTAAATGTGCATTATGCCGGGGAAGTCCTTGTCAGCATACTGCCCCGGCTCTAACAACCTGTTCGGCGCGTATTAACGCCCACCACTTGACATTGTCACGGATCACAGCAAACAGGCGGTGCAAATGAACGATGAACACCATCTTTCGCAACGTCGCCGCTTGCAACCTGCGTTGGCCTGCGCGCTGCGCAATCAAGCATCGCAGGACACCTGCGCCAGAAGCGCAGCCGACACCAGCAGAAGGCGGCAGGCGGCAGCAGCCGCTAAGCAGGGACCTGCGGCACGGCGCTGGCGCCCCTACACGGGCAGCGGCCGCTGCTTGTGGCATCGCGGGACCTGCTACNAGCGATTTCGATCAAAAGGCGCCGCGAGGCGGCGCTGTTCGCGCTTCGCGCGTATATCCGGCTGCAGATCGTCCAGCGAGCCTTTTCTTGTAATCGCGGACCAGTTAGTAGCGCTACTAACGCCAGCTATCGTTCATAGACTTACACGTCTGTCGCAAAATCTCGTTTGCACCAACAAATTACAAATTGAAACATTCGCGGCACGATAAAATTTCAGTGTGCTACGATGTGTTCATATCCAATTTTTGATGCTATAACTGTATAAAATCTTGGTGTTTTTTTAAGTTACTATAATCAGTGATATATCCGCTGTGATGTGAGACTATATTTCGCTATATTTTGAGCATTTCTGAGCAAAAATCTCGTAATATAAACAAAGCAGGCGCATGGCAAGAGAGATGTTTCACCTGATGCTAATAACGTTTATCTCAGTTAGATCCAAATTAAGTTAAAAATAACTTACACTGACGAAATGTTCGTCCCTCTCTCCGATAGACTTCCGCGATCAGGCTGAGATAAACTTTATTAGCATGTGAACTATAGAGATCCGATGAAATTATTCATTCATGTTTCACCTGATGCTCGAGGACGACCAGCCTGTGCCGCAGGTAGAGCCACAAATCTCTCAGGCCATCCTCTTCACGTACGCTGTACTCGTAGGCTGACGGCTTATTACCTGCAAACAGCGTAGGACTGGTGTAGCGTCGTCACTTTATATATAGGGCGGGTCTGTTTATACGAAGAAAGAAGTGGGAGCAGGACTACGCGAGACAGTGTGAGAGAGGAGGACCACGCACGTGGTGTGAGGGAGGAGGTGGGGGTGCACGTGTGTAAGGGAGGAGATGGGGGTGCACGTGGTGTGAGGGAGGAGGACCACGCACGTGGTGTGAGGGAGGAGGTGGACCACGCACGTGGTGTGAGGGAAGAGGTGGGGACACACGCACGTGGTGTGAGGGAGGTGGGAGAAGGACCAAACACGTGGTGTGAGGGAGGAGGAGGAGGACCAAGCACGTGGTGTGAGGGAGGAGGAGGACCACGCACGTGGTGTGAGGGAGGAGGAGAGATGCACGTGGTGTGAGGGAGGTGGAGGACCACGCACGTAGTGTGAGGGGGGAGGAGAGATGCACGTGGTGTGAGGGAGGAGGTGGACCACGCACGTGGTGTGAGGGAGGAGGAGGACCACGCACGTGGTGTGAGGGAGGAGGACTACGCACGTGGTGTGAGGGAGGAGGTGGGATGCACGTGGTGTGAGGGAGGAGGAGGACTACGCACGTGGTGTGAGGGAGGAGGTACCATGCACGTGGTGTGAGAGAGGAGGTTGACCACGCACATGGTGTGAAGGAAGAAGAGGACTAAGCACGTGGTGTGAGAGAGGAGGACCACGCACGTGGTGTGAGGGAGGAGGTGGGGGTGCACGTGTGTGAGGGAAGAGGTGGGGACACACGAGGTGAGGGGGGGAGGAAGTGGGGTGCGCGGGGCGTGGGGAAGGTGGTGACTCCTGCTAGAACTGCTACAGGTAGCTGACTCGTTCTGATACACACGCTGCTCACCTGAGTGGGGCTGCGCTCCCCTCCGGAGCTTCACATCATGGCGCATCTTCATCTGCGAGACCGTCTCCTCGAGTCTGCGCACCGTATGCCAAAGGTTGTCGACCTCCGACGGTGCAGAGGGCGCCACGGCTGGCCCGCCGTAGAAGACAACGAAGCAGATGAGCATGACTCCCGTGGCTGCGGCCGCGAAACACGTCAGGCAGTTCAACCAGCGCACGCGCCGACGGTACACCCGCGCTGCCGACGATGCCGCGGTCCCAGCCTCCGCTGCCATGGCAACGCGACTCTGCACTGTCTCTCTGTTGGTCGGTGCGCTGGGTCTGTCGCCACGACTAACTTAGTAATAGTTATTCTTGTTTGTTGTTGTCGTTGTTGACGATGATATTGTTAACGTTTTTGTAAATATCGCACGGGGACGAAACCTGATTTTCCCTTGAGCAGAGTCGAATTCGTTATGCAGAAGAGCGTTTCACAAGCTATTCAGAGATTTCTCGGCAAGATATTCAGCTTGTGTCACTACGTATGTATCGCTGGCTGTCATGTCCCGACCTCACAGTGAGCACGCTCATCGCGTGGCCCTACTAATATACCACACATACCTGTACCTACATCAAGAGCACATAATAGCGATCTCTATTATGTACTCTTGACCTACCAGTAGCACTACAGCAAATATATACCGGACACATTGAATAAACTTTGATCGCGCGTGTGTTAGTTGAGAGCACACAACCCGGACATCCAATCAGCGAACATAGCAACATACGAACACAGTACATGGGATTTTGCTTGGGAATTACAAAGATATATCGTCTGGTATCATATGACGCATCTCACGTACTGGTGTATCCCTTCCGTATATTTCCTAGTTCATCTCCCTTGATCGTTAGAAAAAACGGGGCTCGTGTACTTACACACTTGCATTGATTTGTTTTCCAATACGTTACTGCCACTGATAACGCAGTCACCGCAGTGAATTATATAGGTGCACGTAATATAGGAAAGACACGCACAGACATGTATTGTAGAGCAAGCAAAGACACCAGTGTATTATAACATCACAATTGCTTTTATTAGCTCGTCACATACGAAGTGTCGCGTACATCATACACTGCGTAAGACTACAGCTATGCTAGATCTTTTCCTACACATCGCATAATATTTCACTTGCGTCGCAACGCTACGTCTAGTTTCACATATGCTGATACGCGTCTAATGCAACGTTTTCCATATAGCATAACTATTCGCGCTTGGTGAAACATTTTGCTAGGGATGGGATCGTTCTCATGCAACACAACTATTCGTGTATAATTTAATAACTACCTTTCTGACGCAGTACCTTCTACAGTAGATTCGCATACGGCGTGAATTTTTTCTGTCAAACAGACGACACTGTCAAATGCATTTCACTTCATGACTGAGTATATAACTATATTTACCCAGGGCGTGCTCAAATTATTCGTACATAATTTGATAATTCCCCTTTCAACGCAGCACTTTACAACCCAATGTAAAGATATGCACACGGCATGAATTCTCCTATCAAACACACTTCACTTCACGACTTAGTATAACTCTTTAGTCTCCACGGCGTAACACCCTCCCCTGACTTCCTCACCTTTGAGGACGTCCCCAGTGTCAATAGGGCAGGTAAGGCACTAGTTGCTGTCGTGACGGTGGTGGCAGAACGGCCCTTGTATCACTGCATGGCCGTCTGCAGGCCAGGGAATGGTGTCATGCCCTTATTGTGACCCTCGGCGACCATGTTGGCAAACTTTGAAACTGGAAACGACGTGGACATGAGAGCACTGGTACGGTGGCGACTGGTAGGCCCTATTCTTTCAGTTATGTCCCTCCGACATTCCAGCAAGCAATGGCTAGCAGAGAGTCCAGATCATAGATATCTACTAGTATCTAGATAGTACTACAGAATTTTTGACAGGAGAAAGAGAGTGAGGGGCAGTGAGAGAAATATAGCAGTTGAGCAGTTGAATAAATAATCTTACATACCTAACTTGAAGCACTCATCATTAGACATTATAGCTTCAGCATACTGCAGGTGCATGTCAAATGAAGGGTAGTGCAGGAGAAAGATGCCTAAAACATACCGACAATGTGTACAACAAATAATCCCAATTTAATAATCCACGTTTGCACGATCTTGACAGGTAGAACCAGTGAGAGCAAACTGTACATCATTAATTACACGGACAAGGTGTCCTCGATCAAACATGACTAAGTAAATAAATAAACAAATAAATGAATGTAAGTAGTACATACATTCGTTTAGTGGTCCGAATTCGGTTTTGAATGCCGCAACAACACTGGCACCTGACGTATGTACAACGGAGTTACATGCTGGTACCATCTCTGCAGCTTTTGGCAGCCACACGGTGGGTGAAGACTTCATGCACAGACTGACTAACTCGTAAGCACCTGCAATTATGCACACAAGAACCAATGAATGAAGAACCTTCCGGTATTGGAATGATCTCACATATTACGACCAACCTTGCCAAAGCTGGCTGCGTAATTTGGATGGTCATATATCTCCAGACTATGTAAACTGGCTTACCACCAGGTTTAGCTGGGCAGTTGAGGCTGGTCCCCGGTAGTAGTCTGAGCATCTGGCTGTGCTGCTTGTTGACCATCTGCATTACTGGTGTCAGGAATCTTTCCACCAGTTCGCTACTCTGCATCATCGCTACCCTGGATTCTGCACGATGCGCGTAGCAATCTGAGATGCAAACACACAAACTAACAATTAGCAACAGCGTGGAAATTAAGCCCGGGGGGAAAAAAAGATGGCAAGGAAAACGAAAAATGGGTGGCTATAATGCAGCGCATATGTGTAATATATATGTCACTATGCGGAGTATATATATCTTACCCAGCAATACATTCTCGACAACAAAATACAGAAGCAGAGTTCTGAACGGAGGTTTATACATCTGATGAATTGGTGAAAGCATTTCACAGAATTTTTACAGTGACTCTAGAATCGCTGTCGAGTTGCATGAAAAAGTCGCAGGTCTGCACTAGGCTCAAGGAAACAGCAGAGTCGTCCAAGGTTTGCCGCGTGGGAATCATCTCACCGAACTCCCACAGGTGCACTGTCTGGTTGATGGCTCCAAACTGACAGACCCAGTATCCAAGGCACTTGGCTACAGCGAGTCTCAGATGTATCTCACGAGCCGTCATCTCCAGGAACTCTGTCATTCGCTTCGGCTTGACGTCGTACGTGCGCAGCTCGTATACCTTGCCCAACGACGACGACGACACCGGCGCCAACTCGGTCGCCGCCGACGACAGGCAGCGGACCAGCCGTCTGCCACATCCAAGCGCTGCCTGACAACGAGGATAATCAGTGCGACTGCATTCAGGTACGAAGCACGAGGAAGAAGAGGGGAAGTCAACTGGAGGTGCTTCTACTGCAGAGGTGTATATAGCTATGCTTATTCTGCGCATAGTATCCTATACTGACACTAGCTCTAGTACTATAGCCCGCAGGATCGCTGCCGCAGTCCCAGGCGCCTGCGGCAGCAATCCTGCGGGCTATAGTACTAGAGCTATACTGACACATACTCTTATGTGTTAAGAATAGGTTCACTGCAGGAAATTGGAATATATATATATATATGTGTGATATATATGCACCCTACCCCTGTGTTTGGGTTACATTATTGTATCTATAGCATATAGGGTCTACAGTACTGTATAGGCCTATAATATTGTCGTTTTATTGTGAAAGGTCCGTAGTGAACTCGCCTCGCCGGCAAATCCGGCCCATGTGTTGAGTTTACCAGCCTGGAGGCCGGCCAACTCAATATAAACTATGATTATTCGCAAAACTATTGACCACAACAATTATTATGAGCGACAATCACCTGGCTAGAACCAAAACAACTTGTTGTTAACGCACGATGTACGAACGCCATTCCTGACCTCGCGTGCAGATTAACGACCGCCCAATAGATGGCAGCACAGGTCTACCAATGTTCACAGCAAAGATCGTATAGTGCCTCCGGTCTTTGGTTCACAGAGATCGTATTATTAGCTCTTGATCGTATATGATCAGTGTAATCAGGGTCGGACTGGCCCCTCGGGCAAATCGGGCAATGCCCGAGGGCCCAGAGGGCCAAGGGGCCCGTTCTTTTTCTTTTTCTTTTTAGTTTTCTTCTTTATTGTCTGAAAAATATTGTGCCCCAAATCCGAGGACTTTTTCCAATCCATAAGGGGGTGAGGGTTCTATATCATGCCCGTAGCCAGGGGGGGTTCAGGGGGTTCGAACGAACCCCCCCAGCCAAAAAAATTTTTGTTTGAAAATTTGCAAGAATTTCACCTCAGGTCGCTCCATTTTAGTGTAATAATTGCAAAATCTCCATCGTGCGGGAGGGTGAACAGTGAAAACCCCCCTCCCACACCCTCCCCCATTCGGTCGCTTGGCTCCCTCGCCTGGTCGCTTCGCGCCCGAGCAGGGGCGTGTACAGGGGGGGTCCAGGGAGTCCGGACCCCCCTTGCTCGCGCAGAAAACGCATCTGAGGGGGTGTAATTTAAAAAAAATTCTGGGGGAGGGCCCCCCAGACCCCCCCTTCGCGTGCTCGCAACTATGGGTTACGGTTAGACCCCCCTGGTACAAATCCTGTACACGCCCCTGCCGAGCAAATTGCCAACATTGAAAAACGAACCCCCCCCCCAATAGAAAGCTGGCTACGGGCCTGCTATATGGTTGGTCATCGTACACTGAAATAATTATTTTGACCGCGGAAATTAAAGCCCTTTTTAGCAAAACGTTTACGCACGCACATACAGACCCACACACACGCACACACCCAGACACGCACGCACTCACGCGCGCACACGCACAAACACATACAAACACACGCGCGCGCGCACGCTCGCTTAGAGCCTTGACTTGTATTCCCGAATCACGAAAAATATACCTACCTACCGTCACCCTTTGCTATAGGTTTTTTCCAACAGTAAGCGGCCATATGAAGTAGACCGGAATGAGCACAATACATGCAGGTATAAATTAAAAATACTTTGAGCGTTTTGGCGCATACCAGGGCCGTAGGCTACCCTACACGCATGCCCAAGATCATGAACAGATATCTGCGCAGTACCTATCTACGTGGGGCCATATTATTGAGACAGTGTAATAGAGATTTATCATATCAACCATCTCTCGGCGATTCTGTCTTGAGTAGAGTCAAATCAAACTGCTTTTTTTTCGGAAACACGATAACCTTTTACTTAGAGCCCGATTCGCCCTGACAACATAGTGGGACGATGGTAATTAATCTGATGTTGCTGACGTTTGTCCTGTGATGCATAGCTAGACACCCCCCAAGGCGCGTTCAATCGTCAGGTAAACTGCTGATGTTTGTCCTGTGATGCATACCCCCCCCCCCAATGCGCGTTTAATCGTCAGGTAAACATGAACCGAGAGATTAATCTACTCTGGAGCAATTACTCCCGAAGCACTGCCTGACGTCATTCAGAAGAGCGGAAAGTGACACTTAACGGCCCCCGCAGGCGCGTTTAGCTCAGCGCCGAATGCGCACCGTGTGCGACACTGCGAGAGCCTTTAGCGGCAAGCAGTAGAACATAGACCCTAGTCGTGTATATACTAATGTGCTTCGACACGGCGCCGCAGATTTCTGGCAAATTAGCCGTAAGCCCTTGTTATCATCAGTATTATTATTATTTCCAAAGCGGATCACGGCATTAGACGGTGGCTTCTGGGTTGACCGTGTCCCAACCTGGGACATAGGGATTCAATCCAGAATATGTCGCAGGATGTGTGCAGCTGTGCTGTTCTTTATCAGTGTTGTTCTCTTTGGCGAAATAATAGGACCACATCACATCCTTGTATTGATTATTATTATTATCATTATCATTACTATTACTATTAGGTATCATTATCATTATCATTATAACTGTTTGTTATTATTGTATTTATTATTATTTATTTTATTGTTCGTATTACTATCATTCGCTACGAATCAAGTGTTATCCGTATTTTCTGAGATAGTCGACATGTTTACTATTTATCACTAACTCTCATGTTTCCAAACCAACGATTTCTATCCCCTTGCTCACCGACACATATTGATAAAAAGGTGACGGCGCGAAAGGGAGAAAAACAACAGAGAAAGAGAGAAGAAGAAAGAAAGTGATCGTGAGAGCGAGGAAGAAGGGAGGAAGAGAGAGAGAAAAAGAGCGAGAGAGCGCGCGCAAGAGAGTGAGAGAGGAAGAGCGCGCGCGAGAGAGAGAGAGAGGGAGAGAAAGAGGGAAAGAGTGAGAGAGAGAGAGTGAAAGAGAGAGAAAGCGAGAGAGAGAGAGAGAGAGAGAGAGAGGGAGAGAAAGCGGGCGTAAAGGAGAGGGAGGTGCGGAGGTCTACCGTATCTGCCGTGGGTGTGACATGTATTACCTGTGACATTACAAGTCGATGAGCCGTACCTTATGTAATATAGTCACCTGATCCCGCTGCTTCAGGGCGTGTAGGTATAAAATGAACATGCTATGTAATACATGCGTTAGATCACTGCTATAAATGTCAAATAAATTTCACAATGGTAACATCAATTCTAAAAATGTAGTCGGGGGATGAAAAGTTGTCATTGTATTTGAGTAGACATGCCGTATCCAAGTACTCAAGAAGTAGAGAGGAAACATGATGACACATACTGTTGTATAGTAGACTGTGCGTATCAAACACACACGCATGCGAATATACACGAATGTAAAACTCAGATGAAGACAAACAACGCTGATAATACGCTAATAGTTATGACGTAGACTTCACATGGTTTATTTAAAAATCACTTTCCGTGTACTAAAATCATGCTGTTGCATAATACATTAAATGCAAAAAACGACAGTCACGACACGTGTTTCTCCTCGCTTCTCTACCATAAAGTTTAAAAGCAAACGTACACTTGTTGATAAAAAAAACCCTAGTAATAAATGCGGCGTTGGGCATAGACAAGACGGTTTCATGACACGGACAGACTCTCGGGCGCGTTGTATTACCAAACCTCAAATTGCAACTATGAAAGTAATATGCATTTGGACTCATTTTAACATATGCATCAGTGATTACTATCTTTGCTCTAAGAAACGTGTGTATGCGTGCGTGCGTGCGTGTGTGTGTATCTCTCTCTCTGTGTGCGTGCGTGCGTGCGTGCGTGCGTGCGTGTGTGTGTGTGTGTATCTTTCTCTCTCTCTCTGTGCGTGCGTGCGTGCATGCGCGTGTGTGTGTGTGTGTGTGTATCTATTTCTCTCTCTCTCTGCGTGCGTGCATCCGTGCGCGTGGTATGCAGAGCAGCAGAACTCTTCCAACAGCTACCGGCCGGATAGACGCTCACATCGTTGTCATCACCCTACCATCAACACCTGATATACGAGCTTCTCTTAACTCCCACGACGAGCGACAGACGAGTCGACCTCGCACGACAGCGAGTTTGCCAGCACGATCGGTAACGATTAGTTGGCCTAATAGACTAAAGCTGGGTTTACACTACCGACTTTGTGTTGGCGAATTCACGAATTGGACCAACTTCCCAACCGACCATCGGCAGTGTAAACGCAAAAGATACACGACCAACCAACCGATCGATAGCAACTAGTTGAGAGATCAGAACATGTTCTATTTTCGCCAACTCGGAGTTGCCGAATTGCGAAATTGGTCCAACTCGCCAATTCGCCAACATAAAGTCGGTAGTGTAAATCCAATTTAAAGAGCGAGAACCCCGAAAAAAAACGAGAACGTACCACACCCTCTACATCCTTAATCTGGTACTATAACATTATAGTAGCGCTATCTTTCAGATTGTTCTCACAGAGCCTGAGTAGAAGACTGACAGCCCGAGTGAGCGAGAATGCGGCACTACTTGTTTATGCAGCAACGAAGATGAAATGTTATATCCTATGATGCATGCATTTCCTCCTGTCCAGCACATTAGCCTCGAGGTATAAATAAACGCATTAATCAAATGACATCATATGATATATCCTGACATACGTGGTATGATATTACCTAGAATATGCATGTGACACTTCGTATACTCCTGATATTACCAGACAGGAGTCTATTGATAGACTCCTGATATTACCTACGTACATATTAACAAGATCTAGAATACCATAATCGAACATTTCTATTATGGTAATCCGCGTATTGGCGTATTTACGAACGCAGAGGGTCCGGTAGAGGCACACATATGCAAGCACATATAAGCATGTGCATACGCAAGCACACACACACGCACGCACACACGCAAGCACCCACACACACACGCACGCACGCACGCACGCACGCACGCACGCACGCACACATGCACGCACGCACCCACATACACACACACGCACGCACACACAAACAGATAACCAGGCAGCTATCAAAAACTAGCAAAGGTTATAACAAATATTCCTACATCATCCTAAACATCATCATCATCATCATCATCATCATCACCACAACTTTTATCATCAACATCATCTATTGCCATCGTCGTCATCATCGTCGTCATCATCGTCGTCATCGTCTCACTACACTATGCAACCAAACATTGATTATTATGAAATACAACACGTGTAAAGAGCTGTCCTGAGAGAGAGCATAACACGAATCACTTAAAGAGCAGAATAATGACAGTAATTGGACACGCACTTCCAATTAGAAGACAAGCGTTACATAAAAAACGAATCATCTCCACTAGATATAAGAACCATTCGCCATTCGCATGCTCATATATACCAAACTATATTACAAAAATTACGAATTAATTGGCAATGCCGATGGCACATGTAAAAATACCTTAATGACCACTCAGGCTGTAGGCACTGTAGTGTAGAATCGCCGCGTTGTGTAAAAACAGACCCCTTCCTCACTCCCTCACCACGACTAAAGCAATAACCATGATCAGGCCGGACAGATCTCAATACATATGCCGTGGTTAGTGCTGAACACGGATGCTGCAAGAAATTAGAGCTTCACATCCTTCGTGGCCCTATGCCATGTTGTTTTCATTGCTTGGTGACAAAAATACTCTGAGTGGGGGGATGAGCAGAGCCAATCACATGAGAGCCCGGCTCAATTTCTGGATTTTCTGGAAGAAGAAAAAAACTCACTTTCAATTCGTGATTAACAGGTGTCTATTTCCTCTCTAGCTACCTTTCACTCGCCCGTACATTCTCTCATCTTCACCCTTCCCTCTTCTCCAGTCACGAATGCAAGTAATCGGACATGAGACACATGAGAAACACATTACAATAAGGAGAACTATTCGGGAAACATAAAAGTATTTTAACATGTCACTGCACAGCATATCTCCTCGTTAAATAAGAACGAGGACTTCAAATAGACTCGAGAGAATTAGATGTAGAAAACCAAGAGGTACACTGCATTTATCAGCATAAATACTAGTGGTCCAGTGGACCTGTGCACCTCAACTTTTATTCAATCTGGAGATTCCTAACCGATAAAAGTATAAGTGTGGCTTTTAAAAATCGGGTTTTACAAACAACATACCACTACCATGGGTCACAATCCTAAGGGGCCCGTGGGCCCGATGCCCGTATTTTAAAGCTCGAGCCTGACACTTCTAATACTAGCAAGCCCGACGGGCCCAGTAAAAAATCCACCCCCAGCATGCATAACCGTCCCCGGCCTGTAAAATTTGCCTGGCGGGCCTGTAAAATCCCTTACCTACAGGCCTGCAGGCCGTTTTCAAACTAATTTCTACCCCTGACTACCAACGTCACTACAGAATGCAACCAACACCGTTAACACTCCCGACACCAACAGTAATGAGTAACCCACGTCCTTACCTCTCTGAACCCCTAAGAGCCTCACACACCTTATTCCAGCGTATATATCGTAAGTAATTCACGCCTAAAATCCGAAAGTAACCGGATGGAAAAAAAAAAACGCGTAGTTACCCAGCCTGGCTCACCTGGAGGCGTTAGGCTTCAGAAGATCTGGCATCTGGCTCTGGCATCTTCATCTGTGACCAGTCGAGTGTATAGAGGATGCTGAGGAGTGCGTAAACTGCAGCAGCGAGTACTATGACGAGTAGCGCTTCTCGTAGTCCAAGGCTGAGGTATTGCGGCTGTGCGGGGGCTGGGGCTGGGGCTGGAGCTGGCAACGCTGCAGTCGTCGCCTGAAACTACAGATGGCTCCTTAAAGTGATTACGTAAGTCACCGTAAATAGTACAATTTAAAAAAATTATGTACACTGTTTCACAAAATGTAAGTGATTCTGTTCACGTTATATATGCAGGGTTCTCCAAGGGCACTTATAGCCTGGCGGCCCGCCAGGCTATCGTCGAGCCCCGCCATCCTAAAATGACCAATTTTACCTGACGATTTCCTTTATCTCATTCTACCACGAGATGATAAACGGATGTCGAATCTTGTAACGTTATATAAGAACCTTCTGCCTGACACTCACCTTCCCCTTTGCCTTGCCGCGCTTCTGCACAAGCTCCTTAAGGTCAATCTTCTGACCTTTGAATGACTGCTGAAGGATGTCCTTGGCCACAGCTTCCATATCGGAATCTGAGATGTCGATGAGACGCGAATGTCCCTCGGCTCTGTGATGGGATGCTGACACTGCACTCTTCTTTGGTGGTGCCGTGGATTTTACAGTTACTGCCTGCAAGATGTGGTAAAGGTATATAGATATGAATGGGGCACAGACCATCACATGATCACAGCCTCATGAGTGCAGGTGTTCTTTATTTTAACAAGACCAACCTAGGTTAGCACAGTCAAAACTATGCTTTCCAAGGCTTTCAATACGTCAATCTAGTCAAACGTAGGCCAATTTTAAATTTGGATTTTTTTACTTTCTCTACCAGTGCATTGATGTTGCCAAACGATCGTCAAGTTATGAATCAGAAATAGATGAGAAATCATTCAATCATTCAAACAGGAAAGATAATAACGGGGCCAAAGAACCTGTACATGGCACATTTTGTGTCAGACGCACCGATGAAGGTCGCAGATCCTTTTTGGTTGTCAACAGCTGCTTGGCTGTGGAAGCAGAGGTTTCCTTAGGCACATTAACCTTCTTCTCCTTCGCTGCAACCTGCGCAGTCCCCGGCTGACGTGACCGGGATCTTGACCTTGACCTCTGTTGCCTTCTGTTGTACGGCTGTTGCTGAAAGGCGATGATGCTTCAGTTACAACACAACACATCATAATAATGACATTAACATTGTGATGGATTCTATGGATAAAGTCATTCGATGCATGCAGCCCAGGGAAACCAACAATTCTAGAGGACTGATAGAACATTTAGTTGTGCTGAATGAAATCACACCTACGTAGTTTTCATATTCGCACACAAATAACGACTATCAATTTCAATTGATATCGATACAATTTGAATTTGGTAACATTTCGAGCCTTCGAATACACATTGTGTATTGAAGTACATTTTAAAACACCATTGTCATCTATGGTCCAATTTATCCATATATATATGTTCCATTTAGGTCTTTAAAATAATGGTCACAAGTCACACGTGACACGGGCGATCTTACACTCACGTTCTCGTACTCCTCCATGAACGCCTTGATGAGGACGCCACATTGTCGCATGTTCCTCGTCGGCTCCCACGAGTCCTCTTTCTCCCCAAACCCTTTCCATCTGACCAGGTACTGCCTGCGGCCTTTCACTAATCTCGTGTCAAGTATTTTTCCCACCTACGGCACAAACTTGCAATGTCAACAATCCACATGTACGTCGAAAAATGCTACGTTCACATGGAATATCCGAAAGTTGGTCTCATCGGGAATTATACCGGGAAATTTTCCATTATTTTCAAAACATTATGTTGTACTAATTACTTACTAGTTGCGTGATACTTATTTCAAGAACAGTTCAAAACAACCTCAGGTGATACAGGGAATTATAGAAAGAGAGGATTTGCCGTGAACATTAAAATTACATTTATACAACATTTTCGGCTCAATGTTAGAGCCTGAAGTACTTAAAAGTGGAAATGATAGTACCGTAATAACACATTTCCCCCTCCTTCCCTCCCTCCCTCCCTCGCAATATTATCATATTACTATGTTACATCATTTAAGCTGCCCCAACCCCTAAAATCCATGAATGTATCCAATCAAGGTAGTATTCTAGATGCAAACATTTTGTTCATACATATATTTTGATTAGATAGACTCAACACAAATGCTGCCTTAAGCTCTAATGTTCAAATCGGGAAAAGCATCCCACGCTTTCGCACGAAGTAACATATTTACACAGTGACCCCGAGTGATCTTACTTCTCTGTATATATTTCCCTGTGTCACTATCACTGTGACTATGGCATACAAAATCGGACGTGCATAAACTAAAATTGTATCATTGTGCCAAATTCCATTAAAGAAAGCAAGTTTGATTAAGAGATTACTCTTTTCTGAATGCTATTTTGCTATCAGATTGTTTACAAAGCGTTTTATTTCGTTGTTGCACAAAGTATTATTATAGATTAGCGAGCGCGCACTGTTACTGGGACATCTGTGTACGTTCAAGTAAATTTTGAACGAATGGGCATGGCAGTTTTTTTTAACCATATAAATTATCAATTCACAAGTCTTGTTGTGCTAAATGTGACATTTGTGGGACATTTTTAAATGGCAATCAAGAAATGGAGCAGTATTATATGAACATTTATTACAGCGTTTCGTCAAGGGAATGCAGCCTTAAACATATATCATTACTAATTATTGCAAATCATTAATGATAAATGTGTTTTTAAATGCCTCATAGTATTCATAAGTTTCTCTCTAGTATGTCTTTTATGCAAAGGATATTCAGCAGTAAGGCATTTTCAATGATTATCACTAGAAATGCATAATATAGAGCTTAGCTCTGCTCTCCTGATATCATGGAAGCCAATACTGGCAATAGGAAAACATGATTCACATTACAGATTTTTGCATTACGAATGCTTCTTCTCAGAAATGCATTACTCACGTGGGGTATTACTGTAATTCTATTATCGCTCAAATGCTCCAATACAGCCTAACTGCACTGCCACTCATTGCAAAACTACAGCCCTGTCTCCTGTAATACGCACATAGTTTTAGATGCTTTCTTACAAATATAACTAATGTGGGCATTCCAGCATACACGAAATGTACCAGTCTTAATGTTTCTCTACACTCTTTATATTATTGCTGATAATTTCCTGTGAATTACGTTCAAATGCTTCTCTGCAACACACAAGAACACCGCACGCACACTGCTGTGCACAAGGAGAGCCTCCGTGGCCCAGTGGTACGCATCGTGCACTATCCACTGAAGGCTGTGAGTTCAAACCCCGGTCGGGGCAGTGAATTTTCTCAAGGTGTAAAAACCTGGCTCTTAACATTAGAGACTGTAAATCTCTCGCGGCTCGGATGACCACGTAAAATGGCGGTCCCGTCTCCAGAAATACTAGCCAATGGGGACGTAAAAGAACCACTGAGGACGCAAAAAGAACTCTGGCTGTGACCACCCTCAGTGCCATTTGGCTAAAGGCTGACTACATATGAACTGACTGCTGAATAAGAAATAAGAAGAAGAAATAAGAAAAAAGAAAAAAGGACTAAAGAAAAAGAAGAAAGAAGAATAAGATGGAATAAGAAGAAGAAATTCCCCGCACATTCCAAAGAGAGAATCAGTACCTTGTGAAATACAAGAAAGGGACCCCAAGATACAAGATACAAACAACAAGTATTATTATTCTTTTGTTTATGCGCAGCGGCGTCTGTGCGGTGTACTTGTGTTTACGTTTGTGTTGTTACTTCTACTTCTACTTCTATAGGTCTACTGGACAGTCCGTAAGGAATAAACGTCCAGGGCTATAGCTAGCCATGGGGTGTGAGTCCGTGTGACCTAGCTTGGGACCAGTAGGGTAAAGCCAGGTAGTTAGCCTTTTAGCCGAATGGCACTGAGGGTGGTCACAACCAGAGTTTTTAGCATTTGAACGCGATTTACAGGAAGTTATCGGTAATAATAGTCGAAAGAGAGTAGAGAAACATTAGGACTGGTACTGGTAGTAAATACATTTCGTGTTTAGTATTGAAAGTTGAAACGTTATAGTCTTATTAAAGTCTACCAGTACTACTACAGTAGTAGTACTACCACTACTGGCACTAGTGCTTATAGGGTCTATGTCGCCCAGGGTACTGCCGGAATGTACCCTAGCTGGTAACTATTTCATATGGTGCTAGGGTTAGGGTTAGGGTATAGAGTTAGGGTTAGGGAGTAGGCGTAGGCACTCGTTAGTGGAGTAGGCTAAGTACGGTCCGGCATATTAGATAGTACCAGGGTACGTTCCGACAGTACCCTGGGGGACATAGACCCTCTCAGCGGCACTAGTCACGCTGAAGGGGTCGTTGTCGTATCAGGTACTACAGATATGTACCCGACGTAGTTTTAGGTTGTTTAGTATTATGTTTATATTTTTATATGAGGTATGTTTAGGGTTAGGGTTAGGGTTAGAGTTAGGTTTAGGGTTAGGGTTAGTGTTCACTGTTACTGTTACTGTTAGGGTTAGGGTACACTTCTGTAGTACAAGTCTGGTACACTTTGTGTATACATATATGTACCTCGGGTACATATCTGTAGTACCTGTTACGACAACGACCCCTTGAGCAACAGTAACCCTAACCCTAACCCTAAACATACCTCATATAAAAATATAAACATAATACTAAACAACCTAAAACTACCTCGGGTACATATCTGTAGTACCTGTTACGACAACGACCCCTTGAGCAACAGTAACCCTAACCCTAACCCTAAACATACCTCATATAAAAATATAAACATAATACCTAAACTACCTCGAGTACATATCTGTACTAGTTTCACGACACCAGGCTGACTGATTTGACGACCAGATGGTGTAATCTAACGCAATTAATGGTTGTTGCAAAGTTAATTTAGTCCACGCTTAATTTGCTACGAAAGAGTAACACGGGCCATTCACGTGTGCATGATCTCACCTCAAATATTTCGCCTTCGCTTTCCTCACTACTAAAAGCAAAACTCCCGCTAACGGCCATTTTAAATGTCCCACAATGCATGGCGTGGTAAATGCAACCAATCAGCGCATAAGCAGTAAATGGAGTCGAGAGAGCACAACGATGATTACATTGATTGATTTAGCACACTAGGCTGCATGTACTGACATCAGTGTCAACGGGAGTGTATAATAATATCAGATGATGATCTATATTATATTCTCCTGATAACATAGTGTTATTGTATACAGCTCACGGAATTAGCACTGTCGACTCATAGACATAAATAATGAAATACAGCACAATATAGCGAATTTCAAGCTAAGACAGAAAACAATGCAATACAATACAATACAATACAATACAATACAATACAATACAATACAATACAATACAATACAATAGTAACAATACAGTACACTACAATACAATACAATGCAAGACAATACAATACAATATAACACAGTACAATACAATACAATACAATACAATACAATACAATACGACACAACACAACGCAACACAACACAACACAACACAATTGGACATTGTAGTACAGTGAAAGAACGGATAGATATCAGCCATCAGTAATACTGCCGCATAATATAATCCTGATGGTAAAAAATAGAGCATGTAGTTTATGTATGAGGATATAAATTGTCTATGTGACACTGCATAATGCTTCAGTAATGTGATGAAACGAGGAGCTATTTTATTTATTGTACATTTTAAGTGCGATTTCAGGGTTTTAGATCGGAAGGGAGCTCGGACCTTTTTCTGTAGCGTGAAAGCGTAATTTATGCTAAAGTTTGGTTATTTCGTAAGTTGCTTCGGCGTATCATTGTGTTGTGGGTGTTTGTAACACTAGAGAGGGTGAAGTACTGTGCGAAGGTTATATAATAAATAGACACCGTTTTACAGATTTGATATTTTATCACTCCTCACGCACACGCACACGCACACGCCCGCGCGCATGATACATGCGCACGCACACACACACGCACGCACAGCCGCGCACGCACACACTCACACGCGCACGCACAACCGCGCACACGCACACGCACGCACAGCCGCGCACGCACACACGTACGCACAGCCGCGCACGAATATAAGCACGCACAGCCGCGCACGCACACAAGCACGCACACAGGCACGCACACACGTACGCACAGCCGCGCACGCACACAAGCACGCACACAAGCACGCCCAGCCGCGCACGCACACACGCACGCACAGCCGCGCACGCACACACGTACGCACAGCCGCGCACGCACACCACCACGCACACAGGCACGCAATGCCGCGCCGCGCGTGCACACGCATGCTCAAACGCAGCCGCTCGGCACGCACGCACAAGCGTGATCTGTGTGAAGCCATAAGTGTCGGCTGGCACGGCGTCATCAAGCCTACACCGGCGTGCGACACATGACACGACAACAGAGCGATCAGTGGCGGCGGCTAGAGAGGATGGAGAGAGGGGGAGCGGGAAAATGGGAGAGAGAGGAGGGGGGCGATAGCTTGAAATAGTATGGGAGTTTTAATGTGAAAGACAATTGAGGAGCCTCTGTAGTGTACTAATAATATCCGCAGTGAATAATAATAGATTATTATTCACTCGTTCTATTATTCATCGTTCTATTATTATTCACTCCTGATAATATTTATTATTGGTGTTAGAACTATTATTATTATTATTATTATTATTATTATTATTATTTTATTATACATCGTCCGAAATAAAGAGCGAATAAGAGAGAAAAAGGAAAGAAAGGGAGACATATGCAGTACAAGAAAAACGAAAAAGGAATCCAGAGAGATAGGGAGAGAGAGGTAGAAGAAAGAAAAGTAAAGGTCTAGAAAAAAAGAAAAGCGTTAGAGAGCCAGTGAGAGAGAGGTGAGAGAGAGTATAGTGTGAGAGAGTATTCCACATCCTCCTAATGTCGATCTCCAGATATTTGTACTTGGCGAGTTTGTCTCTTTCCTTCACCATGATGTTAGTATCACCTGGTACGGCTACGTCAATCAGTAGGCATCGTTTTTCTTTCTTATTGTGGGGCACTATATCAGGGCGGTTTGCAGGTATCGTGCGATCTGTCTGCACTGCCATATCCCACATGATGGTAGTATCTCCAATGTTGGTAACTGGTCTCGGAGTATGTTCATACCACTTGTCAGGTACTTGCTCACCAAATTCACTGCAGATTGACTAGTGCAGATAGCTGGCTACCTTGTTAAGGCGGTTTATGTACTCGGTTGGGGCCAGCACTGTGCATCCGGCGATAATATGGCCGATGGTCTCCTCTGCCTTGCTGCACATTCTGCACTTGCTGTTGACCTGTTGCTTGAGGATGTTGCATTGATGGTATCTGGTGTTAAGTGCTTGGGCCTGGGCTCCAATGATCAGGCTTTCTGTCTCCCCCTTGAGCCCGAAACTACTCAGCCAAGCAACGCTTGCAATCTTGTCGACAAATGGCCTGTCGAAGCTCGTGTAGAACCTTTAATGCAAAGGCTTGTTCTTCAATACCTCGATTTTCTCTGCTTCCATATTGGCCTTCAGTCTCTGCTTGGTTGAGGATTGGCAGGTAAGCTGAAGAGACAAGTATTTGGCTTTTATTTCTTTAGCCTCACGTAAGAGAGCGTGCTTTGATTTTCCAGACTGATGGATTTTGATAAGCTTTGTAAATTTGTCTTCCTTAACTCGATGTAGTCGCCTAGACCTACAATGGCAGTGTTGTACGCAGACATCAGTTCAATGAGACCACGACCACCATTTTGCCTTATTATTATGATTATTATTATTATTATTATTATTATTATTATTATCATTACTATTATTATTATTAGTAGTATTATTATTATTATTATTATTATTATTATTATTATTAATAGTCATTATAGAGCAGCAGCTGTCTGCGCTGTGTGGCAGCGTCATCATCATCATCAGCGCAGCACGCAGTGACCGCCGCGCGGATCGTGCGCTGCGTCGTCGACGTCGCTACGGCACGTCAGCCGATCGCGTGGGTCGCCATCAGCACGCGGCGACGATAAAACCGTGTCGTCGCAGCACGGGTGACTCACCCGTACGCAAGCGCGACATCGCGGACGCACGAGGGACAGTGCTGCTGCTGCTGCGCCTGCATTCGTCGCCTGAAAGAGTTTCGCTGTTGTAGGGTGTCGCGTGGTGTGCATAGTTGACAGTGTCGCCGCGGCGCGTAGGTTTTGCCTCGTCGTCGCTTCTATCATCATCGGCGTCGTCGTCGTCGTCGTCGTGATTGTCGGCATCGGCATCCGGTGCTGCGTTAGCGTTTCATACATGCATATATTCTGTGATATAATAGATTGATAGACGAGAGATCGAGAGAAGTCGAGCGATAGTTTCACGCAGCAGTAGCAAGCGGACGTCGTTGTCAGCGGACGAGCAAGAAACATGAGGATGACAGGCAGCTGCACGATGATGGTCCTAGTCTTCGCCTCCCTCGGTAATAAGGAAAGAAACTCTCGCGCCGCTCCCTAATGTATTTATTTATTTATTTATTTTAATAATTTATTCGTAAATTTATACATTTATTTATTTATTTATTTATTTATTTATTTATTTATTTATTAATATTTATTATATATATATATCTATTATTTATTATTATTCATTTTACCGACAGACAGACAGACAGACAGACGGACAGATTAACACACAAACACAGGCAGACGGACAGACGGACAGACAGGCGGACGGACAAACAGACTGACGGACAGGACGGACGGCTGGGTGGATGAATAGCTATAGATTTATGGATAGTAATAATATGGGAAGACTGTAAATCTGTAACTCCTGTTTAGTTCTACACGTTAAAACTACAATAGGCGTCGTTATAAAGCCTATATTCTCGAGATATTACGGTAGATTTTTTGTCCAAGGTATCGCGTAGACAGGAGTGGCTCAGCTATTTTGAAATGCAATACCATTACTTCTGCGTGGTGCGTTATGCGATTGACGACTGCATTAAATGCGTATTATGCCGTATAACTTGGTGCGTAGACAAATTCATACGAATCTATGCATGCGATCTGCTTACACAGAAGCGTTACGGATGATTACGGTAAATAGAGAAAACATGCGCGAAGACCTGCATTCATATACATGCCGTTACTGTGGGACTAATGTGTGACATCGAAGCATAAGCACTTATCAATATTCCATTGAATATAGAGCACGAACTTCATCTAATGCGAGAGAGATCAAGAATGAGAAAGAGAGAACACAAGAGAGAGTGTGGAAGAGAAAGATAGCGAGAGCGAAAGACAAGCGGAGAGAGAGCGCAACAGAGAGAGAGCGCGCGGGAGAGAGCGCGCGCGCGAAAGAGAAAGAGACAGAGAGCGAGAGAGAGACGGGAAAAAAAGAAGAGAGAGAGAGAAGAGAGAGAGAGAGAGAGAGAGAGAGAGAGAGAGAGAGAGCGAGAGAGAGAGAGAGAGAGAGAGAGAGAGAGAGAGAGAGAGAGAGAGAGAGAGAGAGAGAGCGCGCGGCGCTCGCGCGCGAATGAGTGAGCGAGAATAGATACGAATGAAAGGTGCCGTTTACATGAATGCATGTATATACATACGTATAATTAACACGCGCATTAGTTTGCACCTACTATTGTAGGATGCCACCGCAACATTCACCTAGGCAATTTCTTGGCCTCGTGAAATTTTACACGCTCCTGCCTGACGATTATGGAGGTTGCCATTGATGCCTAATAGACGGCATTATAGCGGCGGAATTGTGGTTTTCGCACATGTATGCGTCCGAAGACTTATTTAGCATTGACACCTTTATACTGTGATGCACGCTTCACCATGCACGTAAACCTACGCTCAGGCACGCACGCATGTGCACACACGTAACGTAAACGTACGGCAAGCGCGCACACATGTACACACACGCACATAAACGTACCCGCAAGTACGCACGCATGTACAATGCACACACGCACATAAACGTGCGCGCAATCACGCACGCATGTACGCACCCGCGCGTAAGTACGCACAAAGCACGCAGCACATGTACGC